ACAACATAATCTCAGAAGTGACTTCCCATCACTTTTGTTCTATCTATTTGTAGAAGGATATAACTAGGTTCAGTCAACACTCAAGGGAAGGTGATTATAAAAGGGCATGAACACCATAAGCTGGAATCATTGAAAGGCATCTTTCTTTCTCTGTTGTTGTTTTTAAATAGCTATTTATTCATTTGTGGCACATAAGATCTGCAATCTTTCCTGTGACATGTGATATCTGTTAATTGCTGTTGTGGGATCTAGCTCTCTGACCAGGTATCAAACCTGGGCCCCCAGTATTGAGAGCACAGAGTCTCACCCACTGGATCACCAGGGAGGTCCCTGGAAAGCATCTTTGAGGCTGACTACCAAGACTTTCAAATAGGCGAAAGGCTTTCTCAGTATCTTAAGCATGTGCTATACACATCCTCTATTGTTTTAAAAATAGAACTTCTAAGCATCATATTTTCCATAATGTCTTCACAGAAAAAATTTGTGAGTGTAGCTTTTGCCTAGTAGAGTGGATCATGAATTCATACATAGGAAACTCACCAAGTTTTCAAAGAAAATATATCAGCTTGGAGTAAAGAGAGACAAATTGAAAAAAGCATCTCTACCATCAAACATGTATAGTCAGGAAACAGGCTAAGAAGTCTGCTCAGTGGCAAATACTAGCCATATCTTATAGGGAAAAAAAAAGGGTAACTTAGAGGTAAAACCAAGATTCTACAAGGTGGAACCAAGAGCTATGGCAAACAGCTCACAGGGAGTGGAACTGAGCCCTAAGCAGTGAAATGGTAACATGCATCAGACTAAATTTCAGAATTCTAGGGACGGCTTTGTGCCTCTGATTTTCTGGCTCTTGGAATGCCAGGATCTGTTGTGATTATCCTTTGGTTATCTCACCCACCATTCAGTGTTATGAGTGTGAGAATAGATGTCTTGTTAACTTAGGTCACAGGCGTTTTGACCTAAAATAATATATCCAAGGATGAGGTGTCTTCATACACACCTGAATGGAACTTAGATGACAAGACCCCAGACCTTGAGTTTGAGTCTGATGTCATGAGATGATCTTTTCATGGAGGCTCTTGGGAGGGAATGAATTTATTTTGCACAAGGTAGTAATATAAGTAGCTGTGGCCAGACAGTGGGTTGTGGTGGTTTTAAAACTTTCTTCCAAATTCTTTGAAACTCTCATTAAGAAATGGAGCCTCTGTTCCCTCCCCACCAATCGAGTGGGTTTGTATTTCCAACCATAGACTACGACAGAAGTGATGTGATGTGACTCCAATGCTGGCTCATAGAGTTTAGTGTTGCTTCTCGATGTTGGCTGGAACACTTGCTTTCAAAGGCCCACAAAAGGAGTCTGACTACTCTAATGATGTCATAATGTGAGGAATCCAAACTATGTTGAGGATTGCATGTAGGCATGCTGGACAGCAGTCCTAGTCTTTGAGTAGTCCCAGCCTGGGCTCCAGATACATGAGTGAACAAGGTTTCAGGAAATTCTAGCTCTCATCCACTGAGTCACCCCAGTCTTTGAATCTTTCCACCTGATGTCCCAGATACTGTGGTGCAGAGACAAGCCATCTTTGTCATGTGCTGTCCACATTCCTGACCCGCAGAATCTCAAAGGAGAATCCAAGCAACCAAGAAGTGAGTAAGTGGAAGTCACTCAGTCGTGTCCAACTCTTTGAGACCCCATGGACTGTAGCCTGCCAGGCTCCTCTGTCCATGGAATTCTCCAGACCAGAATTCTGGAGTGGGTGGCCATTCCCTTCTCCAGGGGATCTTCCCAACCCAGGGATTGAACCCAGGGCTCCAACATTGCAGGCAGATTCTTTACCATCTAAGCCACCAGGGAAGCTCAACTAAGAAGTTGTGGGTGAATTTGTTATATTGCTATAGCAACTGGAACTAAGCCATGCAAAACCATCACAGCTAAATTGAAAATGAAAGGCATATTGGAGGCCAATATTTAGCTTTCAAGGCAGTAATACTCAGTGTTTTTATGATTATTTTAGAATCTTGTGTGAATGAAATGATGATGTAAATACTCCTAGGATAATACTTGGCAATAAAAAACAAGAGTTTATTATTATACCAAAAGATATATATGTATATATTTATTTCCAAATGGTTATTATCAATGACCTACAAGTAATGATGTTCTGGCCCAATGTTCCAAAACTTTACATGTACCACCTCTAAATTATAGATGAATAAATATGTGGTTTGTTATTCAAGGTCACACATATCTGGGGAGAGCAGGAATTCAAACCCATAGTATTTTACTCCAAATCTTTTCCTTTTCATCACAACATTCTCCTTACCCCAAACATTTTAATATTTAGAGAAGATAGGAAATTACCTTTGTGAAAAGCCCACCCCACAGAGAAGAGGCTCAAGAATGAAAAATCAACTTTGCACCCAGAAAAGACAGATTAGGAATGATTTAATGATTAGGAATATGAAGGATCTGTATAGGGGAATAATTTTCCATATTTTCTAAGAATACCTATATATCTAATTTATAAAAAGTTAAAATTTAGAAACTTAGGTGACCAGTGAGCTCTTAATAAGCACTTCATTTTGGTAAGGATTAACTCTTCATATGCACTAAAGCGTATCTTTACTTTATGGTTAGAAAAAAAAAGAAAAGATTGACATTGTATTTAATTGATACAGTTGTGCATACAGATACCAATGATACACAAAGTTCAAGACTAAATGGTTATTAAGGCCCCTTTAATTCTAACAGAGATAGTAACAGTACTTTCCATCTATGCAGCATTGATTATTTCATTGAAATTGGTAAAGGACTCTCTATCAACTTACTCCCCCAAACAGGCCCCTAAAGTAGGTATTATTTTACTGTGCCTTTTTCTACAGGTGAGAAAGCTAGTACTAAAAAAAGTGAAGTCATTTTCCCAAGGTCATCCAGCTACAAAATATAATTCGATTGTATTATGGTCAGGTCTCTCATTTCTTCATCTTTATAAAGTACTCTAAAGGAAACCCAACAAAATTGCATGTGGAGATTATATAATGACATGGCCAGTCATAGTCAAAGTAAACTTGTAGTACTCTAAGTTGGTTTTTATTTGTATATATGTAAGTTGTTTTTGAATTACAACTACTGATCACCTTTGAGAATATACCATTGTTATTATAACTGTACAGTTCTAATATTAACCTAATACATAAATTTCCTACATTTATAGGTGGGTAATTGAAAAATATATACATGAAAAAACATACAGTGCTTACAAACCAAATGCAAATAAAACTCTTTAAAAAATCTTAGAAATTCATTAAGCGGGTTACATCGATCCTATTAAAAATGCTTCATCTATGTACAATACAACTTTAAAAATACTACTCCAGGAAACAAAAATCTTTGGTTCAGCAAAAAGATTCTAAATGTGGAAATATAATTTGCTAAGGATGCACCTTCTTAGGTGGGGCCTCACTCATCTGTTTTAAAGAAACTTCAGAAAGCAGATAACTGATTCTCCGAAAGCTGAAAATATGGGTGGAGTGTGGGTAGAGGTTGCTTTTCCTATAGAAAATCAGCATATGGAAATATAACCAGGAGCTTGAACAATACAGAAGCTTCATTAATGGAACTTTTTAATGCAGAAGAAATGTTATTTTCACTCTGCTAGATCAAAAAGGTGGAAAGTCAGCTTCCTATCCATTTGGAAAGGAGGGTGGAAGAATAATCATGATTGATACATAAAAACATTCTACTAGCGAAGTTCTTAGGCACTTGCATCCAATGCTATTGAAACAAATCTACCCATCATTTGGAAGAGGAGACAGGAGGGGACTTGATGTTGGGTGTCCTTGTTACTTACTGGGCATTACTTCTTGAGCGGCTGGCCTACCTTAAATATCTAAAATTATAAATAGTCCCATGACTCACATATCTTTTTAAAAAATTATTAATGCAACAGTGATTTTGGTTTGCATCAATATTTGCCAATGGGATTTTCATTAAAAATTAATTGTGTTTATTCTATACTCTTGGTTTATTAATAGCAACAGTCACAGAACTGGCCAAAATATCTCAGAGTCTCAAAGAGTCAACATTTTGATCTCTTGGAAGTTTTTCTCCTCCACAGGTAAGGGGAAGGAAAAGCCTTCACAATATAGTTTCTGCAGGTTTTCTAAGTTGATTGTGAAAGTATTTAATATGTAAGATAAAACTTTTCCAAAGGCCCATCGACTAACCACACGTTACAACCACCTTTCACAAGACTTTTGCAAAGTCTCTGAGGTACCACAGCTGGTCACAGGAAAATAAAAAAAATATTTCTTGCTTTGTTTATTTTTTCTAAGTTCTCCAATACAATATAATTACCTGGAAGGAAGAATTAACTCATTTATGTTAGGAAGTGGTACCAAGGACTAATATTCAAATTTGCCTTTCCCCAGACTAATTTCAGAAGCATATTAATTTATTTCTAGGTTGAATGCAGGTGAAAATCAAGAATTTCTATTGACTACCAAGTTTCCTGCAAACCATAATTTCAAGATGCCATGATGCTTACATGAGATTGTTGGGAAAGGAAATTTTCCAAAATTAACCCTTGTTCTTCCTTCTATTTGAATGACTTAGTTGCTCAAGGACAAGACATTTTTTAAACCTTACTAGGATTTAAACGAGACAAGAATGATAAGGATGGAGCAACAGATTTCAGAGAAGATGATGTCCCTTTAACAAAAATGGTTCTGACTTCGAAGAGGGGACTAAGACAGCCTTCAACATTTGAGAAAAGCAAAAAATGGAACACATGAATAATTCACAGCATCTAAATGAGACCTTATAATTCAGGACTACCTCTGCACCCACTCTATCCCACCCCCAGATCATGGGTAGGGATTTCTTTTCTCTAATGGTCTTCCAAGAGATAGTGTCAAACTCCAAAGAGAAATGATCAGTGTTGGATTGCTAGGACTTCTAGTCCTCTTGATTCTGTAGGCAGTGATTGTCTTTTCTTCTCTCAGAAGTCTTTATCCCAGCCTGACAGCTCATCTGGAGGCACCCCCCTTTCAGGAGGATACTTGTCAAAGTAGCTGTGATCTGTGGGTCCACTGAGCTAGTAGAGAAAAGATGAAACCAAAGGTGAGGATAATGTTGACAAAGCATGCTAGAACATATGGGAATGCTCTCTGTAACTGAACACTGATTTTATACTGCAGCCACCTGTTAGGTACGCATAAGGAAAAGATGACCAGTTATCAGTTTTGAATCACATTCTCAACCTCATGAGATCTCCCCTTTAGAACAAATGGATCGGATCCCAGAATTATCTTTGATAGGAGCTACCTGGCCTGAGAAGTCATTTCTGAAAGAAAAGGTGAAAAAATGATGTCTTTATTTTTCAAACTGGAAAATATTTTAAAAGGAAATATTTTTTTAAAGGGTCAGAATCCTTCTTCCACTTTGTATGTTTCTCATCAATTGAAATTTTACATGGTTAATTGACCCATATAAGGGTTCCAGAAGTTCAAACAATGGGAAAATTCAAAATATTTGTTTTGAATGACTTTGTTGAAAGAATGAAATGACTCTGGTGTTCAGTTGCTCTGTAAATCAAGTGGTTTCCAATTTTTAGTCTTCAAACAATTTTCATTAGTATCTAATTGAATTATCAGCTGGTAGATAATTGAAAATACTATTTATAATCCATCATAATGAGTTTTGGGAGAGACAAGGAGACTACTCAGGTGTTCAAAGTGACATTTTTATTACAAAACCCTCCACTCTCATGTACTTATTTATGTGAACACAACTCTTAGCACGTTCATCTATTGGACTGGCCAAAAATTCTTTTGGGTTTTTCTAGAAGATGGTATGGAAAAACCTGAATGAACTTTTTGACCAACCCAATATATAAAAATAATTTTTAAGAGAAATAGAATTGATGTGGAATCTGGTTCCACTTTTTAATAAATAATACTTATCCTCAAGTGCACTAAATAATTTCTTTTCAAAGCATTTTGTTTAATAATTATTTTAAAATTTATAATGTATTTATGTTATTTGATACTGAATCTTATAAAAATGTAATTAATTATAACTGAATCCAAAAGAAATATCTGTGTTGCCAGCAAAATCTTTACTCACAAAAATTTTAAATTTAAAAAATTAAAATTTAAAGTCTTTAAAGGATGAGTGATAGAAGGCTTTTCAGCATAAAAATCTTTTACATTAGGATGAAATTTTATAGGGAAAATCTAATGGAAATATGGAGATAGGCATTCAGAGAGAAAAAGGAATGATATAATATTTCTGTCTGTATTTTAAAAGTATTTTAAAAATAATTATTTCTGTCCAAAATGCAACACTTAGGGACTGAGCACTGGAAATGTAGCTAGTCGGAATTAAGATGTAATGAGAAGTGGAAAATCCACTTGAGATTTTTAGAAAATTTAGGAACATCTCATTAATATTTTGTGTTGGTTACAATTTGAAATGTAACATGTAAGGGCTTCCCTGGTGGCTCAGCTGGTAAAGAATCCATCTGCAATGCAGGAGACCTGGGTTCAGTCCCTGGGTTGGTAAGATGCCCTGGATACAGGAATGGCTACCCACTCCAGTATTCTAGCCTGGAGAATTCCATGGTTGTATAGTCCACGGGGTCGCGGAGAGTCAGACACGACTGAGAGATTTTCACTTTTATTTTCACATGTTGAAATAATAATCCTTAATGTAGTATAATAATTAAAATTAATTTCACCTATTTCTTTTTACCCTTTTAAATATGGCTACTGGAAGATTTTAAATTGCATATAGGTTCATATTATATTTCTAGAACCATCTTTCAGCCTGACCAACACTGATGACCTTGGGACTTAGAAATGAAAGTGTTAGTCACTCAATCGTGTGAGTCTTTTTGACTCCATGGACTATACAGCCCACCAACCTCCTCTGTTCATGGAATTCTCCAGGCAAGAATATTGGGAGTAGCCATTCCATTCTCCAGGAGATCTTCCTGACCCAGGGATCCACCCTGGTCTCCTTCATTACTTAGATTCACATATAATGCATTCCTAAGAGTTGAGCTAAGGTCCATTGAACAGGTAATGGAATCATATTTGCATAGAATCACAATTGCAATGACATTTTTACTTAAATTTAAAAACTTAAAATTTTTAAGATCTACTATACACACTTGAGTGTGCACACATGATCACACACTTAAAATCTGTTTACAAAAACAAATACCTAGAAAAAAATCAAGAGAGTAATATATCAGCTACCATACCTCTCTTTGTAAAGGTGATGGAAGATTCCGTGCTTTCAGTCCCTCCCAATTAAAACCATTTAACCACCTGAGAAATGAGAAAAGCACAGAGGAATATTACTGATCTGATACACTATTAGCATGTCATGTTATCTGTCAACCCATTCTGTTGCCTGCTTCCTGCCTGCAACGGTGTAGCTACAAGTGATCAGACAGAAATACTCACTGTGCCCACACACACGCACACATGTGTGTATCTCACATTAAATCCATGCCCACTACCTTCCGGGGAGGGGGGCTTTAATGTCTCCGGCAGTCAGTCTAGATCTCCCTGTTTTTCCATTCATTGCCACACCCTCTTAAGACTCATAATTCATTCTTTGTCCTCTCTCTTCAAACTTCCAGAACTTCCTCTCCATTCTCATTCCCAGATGATAGCCTGGCTTCCTATATCATGAAGAAAATTGGAGCAGAGAAGGGAACTCCTATAATTTTTCACCAGCATCATGCTGCATGCAAGTTCAGGAGCTAAATCAGGTCTGACTCTTTGTGACCCCAAGGACTGTAGCCTGCCAGGCTTCCTCTGTCCATGAGATGTTTCAGGCAAGAATACTGGAGTGGGTTGCCATTTCCTTCTCCAGTACCTGCCTATGTACCCACATCTGTATATTTCCCTTCTCTCCTGTGCCATGAATGCACTGCCTTTGCTTCCAGTTGAGGTCAGCTCCTTTACTGTGTACTTGATCCTGTAGACATTCTCTATTCAAACACGCTCCTTAAAATCTCACCTCTCCTGAATCTTCTCGATTGGTGCATTCAGATCAGTGTGGAAACAATGAAATTCTTGCAACTACAAAGAACTCTCCCTTCACCTGAACTTTTCCCCAACTCTCACTCCAGTTCTCTCTTCTCATTGGAAGAAAACTTGAAAGAGTAACCTAATCACTCTATCGACTGCAGACAAAAAAATTGCTGCCTGCTATTCCAGTAAACAATGAATGCTGCCTGCACTGAAGCCATTTTCTTAAGCAAAAACTCCTATATATCCCAGCTCCTCCCTTACCTCTCTGGAGTAGTTTCTCAGAGATAGCTGAGAGGCTACCACCCAGGCTCTCGTCCTTAGTAAGGTCTTTGAATAAAGCCTAACTTGCAACTTTTAGGTTGTGTGTTTTGCTTCAGTTGACACTACCCATTTTGTCCTGGGCACACTTCAGTCAGATTTCACCCTCTCCACTCCATGAAATTGCCTGGATTCTCAGTTTTAACCTCACTGCTAGCAGCACTTGCCACAGCTCATCACTCACACTTACCCATCACTCACAATTATGCAAACACTCCCTTTGCTTGGCTCCAGAGACATGCTCTTGTTCTGGCTTTCTTCCTACCTTCCTGAGCACTTTTTCTCATTTTCCACTGCTATTTCCATATGAAGTTGGTGTGCTCTGGAGCTCAGTCATTGGACCTGTTCATTTTTCAACTACCCTCACTTCGCAGGTAATCTCATTCAGTCTTAGGGCTTTAAATAGCATGTATAAACCGATTACTCTCAAATTTCTATTTCCATTCAAGATCTGCCCACCCCATTGCTTTATAGGCTGATATCCATAACTGCCATTCACTATCACCCCAAAGAATGTCTAATGGGTATCTAGCAACAATCAGGTCCACATTGAAGCTCCAAATTTTCCTCAATAAATTTGTCTCAACTCTTCCAGTTATTCAAACCAAAGACTTTGGAGTTATCCTTTGTCTCACATCCTGTCTCAGTTCATGAGCAAATTTAGTCAGCATTACCTTCAGAATAGATTGGTATTCAGAACTCTACAAATACTCAATACCTCCACTCTACCAGCATGCACCAAGCCATTAGTATTTCTTGCCTGTGTTATTATAATAACCTCCTAACAGGTCCTCTTGGCTTCCCAGATTACTCAGTGGTAAAAGAATCCCCCTGCCAATGTAGGAGACTCAAAAGATATGGGTTCAATCCCTGGATGAGGAAGATCCCCTGGACTAGGAAATGGCAATCCCCTCCAGTGTTCTTGCCTGGAGAATCCCATGGACAGAGGAGCCTTGAGGGCTACAGTCCATGGGGTTACAAAGAGTCGGACAGAACTGAGCACACGCATGCATGCACACAGGTCCTTCTACTTTTGTCCATGGGAAACAACCCAGCCACAAAGGCAATCATTGAAAATCTAAGTCAGGTCATATCACGCCTTTGTTCACAGCTGTCCAAATGCTATCAATTTCACTCAGTGTAAAAGGCAAAGTCTTCACCATGTCTCTATTATAACCCATAGACTTACAAAATCATCCTTTCAACCACCACCCTTCCCCTACCTTACCACTGTCCTACTTTTCTCTTTCTCTCTGTTTTGCTCCTTTGTCTCCTCAACATTCTTCCAACAAGCTAGGGATGCTCCCAATTCAAGGCCTTTGCAATGTAAGCCCCTGTAAGTGAATGAGTCTTTCCCCAGATTTCCACATGATTTGCTCCCACAACAGTATCAGATATTTCCGATACTGAAAGGTCATTTCTTAGAGAGGCCTTCTTTGGCCATCCAGTCTAACACGGCAAATCTTCCCCATTCTCCGCACCGCCCCCCGCCCCAACATACATCCCATCCTGTCTCTATTTTCTCTCCTTAGTATTTAACGCTCTCAATATCTCTACTATACACTTTACGTAGTCATAATATCTTCTTTATTGTCTTTCTCCCCAACTAGAACGCAAGCTCTATGATGGCAGGGATGCAAGCTCCTTTCCAAAGAAGCATCACTAACACTTGGAACAGTACATGCTAAGTTGCTTCAGTTGTGTCTGACTTTTTTTGCGACCCTGTGGATGATAGCCTGCCTGGCTCCTCTGTTCATTCTCCAGGCAAAAAGACTGGAGTGGATTGCCATTTCCTTCTCTAGGGGATCTTTCCAACCAATGGATCAAACCTGCATTTCTTATGTCTCCTGCATTGGCAGGTGGGTTCTTTACCACTAGGGCCACCTGGGAAGTCCACTTGGAACAAAACAGGGGCTCAAATAAATGTCTGTTGAATAACTTAATAAGTCTACAACAAAAGGACATGTTTACATAGGATGTCTAATTATCATGTCTTACAACATCACATTGCCATATTGTGATGCTCTTGATGAAATGTATCTAAAAAGCTCCAAGAGAAAAAGTACCTTACAATTATCTGTAATGGGATGAAGCTGAAGGCCAGATGAAGTTCTTTCATTTATTGCTTCCTGATTATTAATCTAAAAGAACTGATACGGTCTTTAGGATACATATCAGGCTTGGTGAGCTGGAGATTCAACACCAGAAATGAGGAGACCTTGCTTGCCTCAGGCAGGAAAAATGTACTCTGTCTCTTAGAATCTTATGAAGCACATGGATTAATACTGTTCTATATAATACTGATCTTTTCTGTTGGGACACTGAAGTCACTTTTGTTAGCCAAGAAAAATGTACACACTGTTATATACTTAGAGTAAAATGGATAACCAACAAGGACCTACTGTAAAACACGGGGAACTCTGCTCAATGTTATGTGGCATAACATATGTGGCATCCCCTCCTGGATGGGAGGGGATTTGGGGGAGAATGGGCACATGAATATGTACGACTTGAGTTCCTTCTCTGTTCACTGAAACTATCACATCATTGTTGATCGGCTATACCCCCAATACAAAATAAAAACTTCAAAGAAAAAGAAAAGAAAAAGCACCAGTCCAGGGCTTAAAAAAAAAAGTACAGAAAGTCAATTTGGTCCCAGGTACCAAAAACAACAAAGACCCTGCTTTTAAGATGTTTTTACTTTGGTAGGAGGTGACAAGTAATAATAAGTAAGCAATACAAATACTTACATTAGTTTCACATACTAATAAGTAATACAGAATAAAGAGAAGACATAAGAGAATAGAATGATAGAAGCTGACTGGCATGGGGATGGGTTGGGAGGTACTGCTTTTTAGCCAGAGTGATATCTGAAGAACTGATAGCTGAATTAAAGCCATAATGAAGAGAATGGAGAAGCCATGGATAGATGTGTGTCAATGGCTTTCTAAATGGAAGAAAGTGATGAAATGAGCAGAAGTGTGGTGAATGGAGGGAAAACTAGAAAAACATATCATGTCTGAGAACCAATCAGAGGCCAGATCCTGTAGGGTCTTGTGGAACATAGAAAGGAATCAAGATTTTATGCTTCGGGGAAAACCACTAGAAAGTTAGAAGGAAGTGATGCGATCTAAGTGTCAAGACAATTATGGCCGCTATGTGAAGAATATCCACAGTGGGGGTGCAATGGGAGGGTGGTGGGAGGTGTGAGAAGGCAGGCTGGGAGATTTTATGAGACCTTCACATTCTTCTGTCTGTCAACTGGACATGCAGTTATGTTTTTCTACCTTTTTCAATCTCTTCCCACTCATGGAGTTGGTTTGGGGTCACTCCTTGACTGGATCTCCCATCCTAAGTCTAAGCTTAGCAAGAGAAAAAGTACTAAAACCAGAGGGCAGGCTCTAGTACATTCCATTTCAGATGCCATGCCATTCTTCACCCAAAGTGCCGTTTTTGTCTAAGCTGCCGAGTCTTTAAGCAAAGAGTGAGAGTCAGACCGCCTTGCCAGCTGTATGACTTCCCCTGTCCTTGCTGCAAAACCGCAGAAGTCTTCTGCTTGATCCACCCATCAGATTCTTTGGACAGACTGAGGCTCCATTTTTAGGGATTTCTGGGCACACAGTTCTGTGGATTCTTTTCTTTTACCACCAAAGTCTGCCACAATTCCTTTTCACATATTTTACAATGCTCTCTACCCAGAAGCTACTCCATAAATATTAATAAAAATCATTACTGTTACTCCACTGAATCAAAGAGCCTATGCATTTCTTGTTGAGTACTTGTTACAATTTGACTTATGGCAATATTTACTTAACATGAGTGGTTATTCACTTAACACTTGGCCTTTTTGACACTAACCACATTTTAAGTAATCCAAGTGCCAGTATGCACTCGTGTGTGAAAAATAGTCACTAAAGAAATATTAGCAGCAACTGCACATAAATTGCTTCTTCATTTTTAGAAGACTTGTAGCTATTCTTGAGAGTAAAATTCTAGAGACTCCAAATATTAAAGGTAACATTATGAGACTGGAAACAAATTACTCCTGGAACTAGCAGGAAAGATTTAATTGTACCCTACAAATATATTATCCCTCTTTTCAGACAGCCATGACTGGTACCTAGTTAATAAGTTAACTCACAAACAGGAGCGAGAGGAACTCTATTTTTAGGAAAGATGATTTAATACAGACTGGACAAACATTTGACAATAGAGCATGTTTAACTGTATTGTTTTTAAATACAAAATCGAAGTAAATGGCTTTCTAAGAAAAAAAAAAGGTTTTACTTTAGAGAGGAGTTGGAAAATCTGATAGCAAATTTTAGAAAAATTTTTTTTGTTATATTTATTTATTTAGGCAGCAATGTGTGGCATGTGGGGATCTTAGTTTCCTGACCAGGGATTGAACCTGTGCTCCCTGCATTGGAAGTATGGTGTTTTAACCACTGGACCTTCAGGGAAGCCCAGAGAGAATGTTTTCTCAAAAAAAAAACAAAGAAAAAATCCAAGAATATCCTGGGTAGAGAAGCTATATATGACTTGGAGACTTATAGAAAGTTCTAGAACATTCCTATTTGAAAGCAGAGAGAGATCTATTTTTCAGCCCCCCATACCCCAGCTTTGTATCTTAAGACGCACTATGAAAATAAGATGAAATAATGGTTTTACACTCCCTGGGCTCACCAGAAGGCACTGTGTAAATTTGGTACATCTTATTAGTGAACTCTGCACTACACACGGATGCTTCAGCTACTTGGCAAAGAACACCCTGTCTGTTAAAAAGCATGGGCAAATTAATCCCTATGGGGAAGGAGATTCAAAATTCTTCATTACCACACTAAAGTGAGAAAATCCTTTAGCATCAATTTGCATGTGCATAAAATTCCAATTTGACAGTTACATTTAAATGAGCCTCAGGTAAATAAGAAGCAAGAGACAAAACTGGAACCTGTTAACAATTATATCACTTCTATTTTCCAACTACCTCAGAGCAACCATGAAGACGCTTCTTTAATGAGACAAAAGAGGACAATACATTGGAAGAGGGACTTTAATTGACGGGACTTTTGTTTGTTCAATAAGAATGGTATATTTATGTGTCTTTTATCATGAGAGAAGAAACTGTGATAACAGCATGTAGGAAGAGAGATAAATTGGAATCTAAGACAAATAATAAACTTTACACTGAAGACAATCCAAAGGCTCTAAGAATAAAGAACAGCAAAATACTCTAAGCATTTTGATGTCTTGAAAATCCACAGATGCGTCTGTCTGTCTCCACGTCTTCCTGCTTCCCACCCCCTTCCTGATATATCCTGACTCCTTACGGAAGAGCCCAATATGAATTTACAATGTGCTTTGTTTCAAGAAAGCTCATGAATAGATAGAGCAGGGTTGGCAGCCCAGGGATTTTTTTTTTTTTTTTTTTGCACTGCACCAGTACTGTTCAGAAAAATGGACAGTGTTTCTATTCAGCAGTATCTCTCCCTTTATTTTCACCCTGTGGTGATCTGCCTCTAATTCTTCAGTAAAAACACCTGGAGAGAAATAAAATATTGAGAGGTGTTTTCCTCTCTCAAAGTGAACACAGGAGTATGCTCAAAGGTTTTCAAAAATGAAATTCTCAAATTTATTTTTTTGTACTATCAAGAGGTGATAGTCTTTATTTGTAAATCAAGCATGAAAGCAAACATCTTGAGGATGGCAGGATTTAGCCAGGCATAGATTAAAAACAAACAAACAACTCCAAGGCTTGAACTTCCACATATGCAAACAAATCAGAGATTTTATGTTATGGAGGTTATTGATGGTTTTAAAGGCCAGTTTTAGAAATTCACAGACCTGAAAAGGTGCATATTAGATTACTACATAAGGATAAAACATGGTTTGAGGTTTTGTGGAAATCAATGTACCTTACCCAAAAAAGTAAAGCCCAATATAAGACGTTAAAATGTGGAGAGCTAGTCAAAGGAAAATTATGTTTAAAATTAATATATAATATCAATTAAACTGAACTAGAAGGCTATTTAATAGTTGGCTTAGTTGACCCGTTCTCTTGAATATGGATAGCAATGATAATATCCTACTTTAACAACAAATCAAATGCCAAAATTAGAACTTGATTCCTTTACAGAATCCAAGGTAATATTAGAAAATAATAAAAATAGCAGATAAAAAGTTAAGTTGCTATAACCTGAATATGTAATTTTGTGATTTGTTTTGTAACTTCATTCATACTTGATAGGAATTTCCAGCACTAGAGAAATCACACTGAGATTGATCACTGTAACTGCAGCTAGTATAGCACAGAGGAGAAATAAAGCACGAAAAAGGGTAACCTGAGTGTGTGGGGAGGGCTCTTTGTGGCATACTGAGAAAAGCTTCAAGATGACGATATTTTTTTTAAAATTTCTATATTTTCTGGGCAGAGAAATATGTACCTGTGTTTCTTAATATCATTGATTCCATTCTTCAGATTTCCCAGTCTTTCTGTTGGATTTTGCCTACAATAAAAATTTCAAGTCAGCTTATGATAATTATGCTTGAGTGAATTTTACACTAAAATTTAATGCTTTTTCTTTATCCATTCATTCATTTTGTCAGTAATATGTATAAACCAGGCACATTTGTGTACAGGGAGATGGAAAACATATGCCCTCTCTGGGGGAGCCACAGTCCAATTACAGTCAGAAATATGAATATATGTATCTATATATCCCAGTGTATAGCTATAGGCTATATATGAGCTTCCTTTGTGGCTCAGCTGGTAAAGAATCTGCCTGCAAGGCAGGAGATCTGGGTTCAGTCCCTGGGTTGGAAAGATCCGCTGGAGAAGGGAAAGGCTACCCACTCCAGTATTCTGGCCTAGAGAATTCCATGGACTGTATAGTCCATGGGGTCGAAAAGAGTCAGACGTAACTGAGCGACTTTCATTTTCAGTATATAGCTATAGATACTTAGATATAGATATTGATATATAGATAGGTATATATCCCAGTGCTTTAAATGAACTGAATAAATGCTTAGAAGGACAGGGGGATGCTATTGTTATCTTACCAATTTTGCTAAGAAGACCAAGGAAAGCTTTAGAGAATCATTTATAATGGAGTTAAAATTTTAGAAACATGAAGAAATTTCTGCGGGCAACCAGCAGCAAGGTTTCATGTTCTAAATTTACTAAATTTTAATGCACTTTTGAAAGTTCGTATGTACAAAAAATTGTTCAAAATGTTTTTTAAAAAAGCAACAAAATTAAGTTTAAACAATATTCTAGAAGTCTTCCATTCTCCAACAAATTACTTTTGATGTTAAATAGGGACCTGCAGTAATTTGCAATAAAGTCAGAGTATTTTTTTTTTAAATACTGAAGGCTGAAAGAGGGCATACAGCAACAGTTTATCCTCACCACTTATTTTCTCTCAAAATAACGGAGGCTATAAATTACTCCTCCATTACAATAAGTTTTGTGGTTTTGTTTTTCTCTACAGCAGACAAAGATGATTCTCAAAGATAACCTGAACAATCTGGATAACTTTTAAACTATAAGAAGGTACTGTGGTTCTATCATATGAAGGAAATTCAAACTCCTAGTACAGACCATGTTAAGTCACTTCAGTCATATCTGACTCTTTGGAGTCCTATGGACCGCCAGGTTCCTCTGTCCATGGGATTCTCCAGGAATACTGGAGTGGGTTGCCATGCGCTCCTCCAGGGGATCTTCCCAACCCAGGGATCAAACCCGTGTCTCTTATGTCTCCTGCATTGGCAGGCGGATTCTTTACCACTATCTACCTGGGAAGCCCAAAGTAGAAATTATTTTCTTTAAATATAATCTAGCTACATAGAAAAGTACTATAAGTAAATACATATCTAACTTCAAAATGGCAGCAGAAATAAGAAGCCTTCACACTTTCCCTAAGAACAAAGGATTTTTAATAGTCATTCTCACCTGCAAAGCCTTCGAATCAGATCCTCAGGTCGTCTTGTTATCTTTCTGGGAAAATCCATTTTTTCAATGCCTTTGAGAATCAGATTGTAGGTCATCATTTGGTCAATCCCAGAAAAAGGAGGGCTAGAGAAAAGCCACAATAGGACATTAGGACCCACATCTGAGACACATTTAGAACTAATATTCCACCCTCCCTCTTTTCTTCCTTCCATCTCTCTCATAGGTTGTTTTATAGCAAATCTGCACATAAGCTAGAAAATAATCTCATTACTGAATACCACATAAAATACACACATACACACATATCGAGTGGTGATAATCACTGAAAAGAAAAATAAAGGGGAGGACAGAGAGTGAGAGAGAGGTGTGATGTTTTTAGACACAATGGATAGGAAAAGGCCTTCCCTGCTGCTTCAGTGGTAAAGAACCCACCTGCCAAGGCAGAAGACATGGATTTAATCCCTGGGTTGGGAAGATCCTCCGGAGAAGAAAATGGCAACCCACTAAGCCTCTCTCATATGCTGACAATTGAGCAGAGATGAGAATGAGTCACACTGTTCTCTTGTAGACAAAGAATTCCAAGACAGCAAGGAGTCAGGAGTGGACACAGGTTATTCTTGAAACAGGGAGGGTAGAGTTGCTGGTGGAGTCAGTAAGCAGGACAGGGGGATAAGAGATGAGGGTCATATGACTGTATAGACCTAGTGGGCTATGGGAAGGACCTGGGAATATGTTCTAATTTACAACACCCAAAGTAAGGTTTTTAAAATGTGTTGATGGACTTCCCTAGTGGTCCAGTGGTTAAGATTTCATGCTTCCACTGGAGGGGTCGTGGAGTCAATTGCTGGTCAGGAAACTAAGATCCCACATGCCAGGTGGTATAACCAAAAGGTAGAAAAAAACAAACAAAAAAAAAATGTGTTGAAAATAAACTGTGATGATTTTAGTGGTGGGGGAAGGCAGGGCTGGTAGCTCAGACTAGAACAGTAGTGGTGAAGGTGGAGATATGATTGGATTCCAGATTATTTGAAAGGTGAGGTCAACAGGATTTGCTAATGGGGTGAATGTGGTATGCAGGAGAAAGCAAGGCTTCAAGAATGATGCTAAAGTGCTTTGAGGGTTTCCCTGGTAGCTCAGCTGGTAAAGAATCCACCTGCAATGCAGGAGACCTGGATTCAACCCATGGGTTGGGAAGATCCCTTGGAGAAGGGCATGGCAACCCACTCCAGTATTCTGGCCTGGAGAATCCCTATTGACAAAGGAGCCTGGTGGGCTACAGTCCATGGGGTCATAAAGAGTCAGAGACAACTGAGTGACTGAGCGACTAAGCACAAAGCGTTTTGATCTATGGAACTGAGCTATTTTTACTAAGACTGGAGTGGGCTGGGAGTCCAGGATGCAGAGCAGGTTATGAAGAAGAGAATCAAGAGTTATGTCTTGAACATCCAAATAGAGATGCTAAGCAAACAGTTGAACTTAGGAGTCTGGCATTCAGGGACGAGACTAGGGCTGGAGGTGTGCTTCTAAGGAGTCCTTAGAAAGCATTTATGGCCAGGGGACTTGATATTATCACCCAAGGAGTGAATAGGTAGGAAACAGGTCAAGGACTGAAGTGACCTGAGGTCAGGATGACAAGAAGAATCCAGCAACAGACACTGGGGACAGAAAAAAGAGTATTTCAGGGCAACTGTTGCAACAATGAATAAGAAAGTTTACAATAGCTAGGAGATGGAAGCAACCTAGATGCCCATCAGCAGGCGAATGGATAAGACAGTTGTGGTACATATACACAATGGAATATTATTCAGCTATTAAAAATGCATTCGATCCAGTTCTAATGAGGTGGATGAAACTGGAGCCTATTATACAGAGCGAAGTAAGTCTGAAAGAAAAATACCAATACAGTATATTAGTGTATATATGTGGAATTTAGAAAGATGATAATGATGACCTTGAATGCGAGACAGCAAAAGAGACACAGATATAAAGAACAGACTTTTGGACTCTGTGGGAGACGGTGAGGGTGGGATCATTTGAAAGAACAGCATTGAAACACGTACGTATGTGAAACAGATGACCAGACTAAGTTCAATGCATGAAACAGGACATTCAAAGCTGGTGCATTGAGACAACTCAAAGGGATAGGATGGGGAGGGAGGTGGGCGGGGGCTCGACATGAGGGGACACATGTACACCCGTGTCTGATTCATGTCGATGTACGGCAAAAAACACTGCAATACTGTAAAGTAATTAGTCTCTAATTATAATAAATTAATTTTTAAAAAAGAAAGCATTGGGAATGAACCACTAAATTTGGGTAACATGTTAATGCACAGACTCTGCTTTTAAAAACACTTTCATACCTACGCTGTTGTGTCATTTAATTTTTGAAAATTAAAGATGCTTTTCACAAACAACTCTGCCATATTTTAGTCACGCCTGAGACGGTAGGATACTGAGAGCTCCCACTCTTTGTAATACACTTGAAACAAGTTTGGTGCACTGACTTATCAATAATCTATGCTTCACTCATAAATAAAAAGATGTAGGAAACAAAAAACATTGCTCTAACATCTTCAACTTACTTATATATTTACAAGTAGGTTGTGTTTTGTTTTGGTTTGGTTTTTCAGTCCTTTTCTTATCTTCATTTACCTCCTGATTTTAGGGCATTTAAAATGAACTGTCCCCATACCCTATCCCAGAAAAGCTTTATAAAAATGATTTCTCAACTTGTTTTTCATATTTTATTTTATTTTTAATTGGAGGATACTTGCTTTATAATGTTGTGTTGGTTGTACAAGTTGTAGAACAACTTGAATCAGCTGTAAGTATACTTACATCCCCCTCCCTCTTGAATCTCCTTCCCAGCCATTCCCCACTCTCAACTTCTTTAGGACAACTCAAGACCATTTTGGCAATTCCAAATTATTGAGAATCATTCCCCCTTTCTTATTCCCTCACTTTATTTCCACACTTCTTGTAACAATGTATTCCAGCTGATGAAGACTGAAATGTATATTCTCCAGGTACCTACAAGAGCCGTCATCTATCTGTTAGAAATGCAGCTGACTTATTTTCCAGAGACAAGAAAACCATTTCTTGAGATAGAAAGCCTTGTGTCCTGAGACCTTAAGCAATTTTCTCTCTGAATTGACTACCAGGATATTTATCTCTTCTTCCCTTCAAAATCTCAAGCAATGAATATTTGAAAATATTTGATATTACAGATAATATAAAATAATCTTTCATGCGGACAAGGATAAAGAACAGAGCCACACATAATCCAGTACTGGAATTTGCAGTGTATAAAGTTCAAGAAGATTCCAGGAAGCTCTCCTTTGGTAAAGTATGTGTTGAGCCTCGAATCCCCTGACCTGGGCTCATTCCAGCATTTCTTATGCTGTTCCATATGCAAATCCTCCCTGAAAGCAAGGCTGAGGATATTTGGTTGTAAAGGCTTAAAAGGATGACCAAATCAGTTAATGATAAATGGAGGTAGAAAACGGACCTGAGTGCTGTGGGTACTTCCATGCATTATACTAAAATCTCATTTGTAAAAGGCACATGTGTTTAATAAAAAAATGTGTCTCATTTGGAGTCAGAGGACCTGAGATTAAATCCCTGGTCTTAGTAAGTAGATCTCTGACCCAATCTTCTAATCCATAACATTTAAATCATAAAATAATCATAATACAAATTTAAACCTTAACATAACAAAAATTCCTGCTTTAACTTCCACATAAGTTTGTGAAAACAAAACTAGATAAAACAGATGTAAGTGCTTTGTAAGCTTTCAAAGGCTTTACAAATGTGAGGTAGTATGTGTTTGTGCACATATGTGTATAAGTGTGTGTATGCAGGCATGACTATTTGGGATCCTGAACTCATTAATATATAGCTTTTTATCACTTCAGGAATGACAATCCAATTTTAACTTGTAAAACTCCTGCTGTGTCTTGCCTCTGTTCATTAGCACCTCTAGAAAGCAGTTGACAAGGGGATTAAAATTTAAATCCAGCAATGCTTCCTTCTCTTAGCATTTCTGGTTAATGATTTATTGGGAAGATGGGAAGAATATGGCTAAATTTAATTGATCAATGGATTTAATGGAAATACATCTGCTATTTTCTCAACTTAAAAAATATATGAGGAAATAATAACAGCCCACAACTTCAATTCTCTTTCTTATTTTGATGATGGAGTCCCAAAACCTTCGCTTAATATAGTGAAGTTATAGTGAAGTATTAATTATACTTAATATAAAACTATATAGTTAAGTATTAATTATACTTAATATAGTATCTATAACAACAGGCCTTGCCCCTCTAGGCGCATGCGTGAGTGCTAAGTCGTTTCAGTTGTGTCCTGCTCTTTGCGACCCTACAGATTGTAACCTCCCAGGCTCTGTCGTCCATGGGATTCTCCAGGCAAGAACACTGGAGTGGGTTGCCATGTCCTCTTCCAGGGGATCCTTTCAATCCAAGGATCAAACCTCTGTCTCTTTGTCACCAGGATTGGCAGGAGGGTTCTTTACCACAAGCGCCACCTGGGAAGCCCCTCCAGGTAAACTATAGCAGTTTTGTACTCCTTTGCTGTACTTTCCTGAATATTTTCACCATTTTATAACCTAGAAAGCATGCTATATAGGACACAACGTGAAGAGGAAAAGGCATCATGCCTAATCAAAAACACCTCCAAAATTCTAAATTCTTTTATATATCTATTATATATATATATATTAATATATAATATATTTAAATATATTATATATTTATATAATTTATATAATAGAATATATTTTAATATATTATATAAATATATATAATTAATATATATAATATGTATATATTATCATGAGTAAGTTATTTTTGCAGTTCTCTGAAGAAGAGGTTGAACACAACTTGAAGGTACTTACTTGCCCGTTAGGAGCTCATATACTAGAATTCCCAGGGACCAAAAATCCACACTGAAGTCATGTCCTTTGTTGAGAATGACTTCCGGAGCTACGTACTCTGGAGTTCCACAGAACGTCCATGTTTTCTGTCCAGATCCTATTTTCTTAGCAAATCCAAAGTCAACCTGGAAAAGAAGAACAAAGAAATCTTCCGAGATTGTAAAACTCACATTCTTCTTTAAGGCTCCCTTTAACTTCTTAAGGGCTTCCCTGATAGCTCAGCTGGTAAAGAATCCGCCTGTAATGTGGGAGACCTGGGTTCAATCCCTGGGATGGAAAGATCCCCTGGAGAAGGGAAAGGCTACCCACTCCAGTATTCTGGCCTGGAGAATTCCATGGACTGTATAGTCCATGGGGTTGCAAAGAGTTGGACACAACTGAGCAACTTTCACCTTCACTTCTTCAGTCTTCTTTCTTTGCGTCCACCCTCCCCTTCACACCACACACACACACACACACACACACACACACACACACACACACACTCTGACCCTCTCATTCAGGGTCAGGGTAAACCTCATTACACTCGAGAACGTCTCCCGCACACACCTCTACACCCAGCACTCCTCGAGGACTAGAGGGTTGGTTTAGGAAGGGGCTGTGTGCTGTGCTTACTCAATCGTGTCCAACTCCTTGAGACCCCATGGATTGTATGTAGCCCGCCAAGCTCCTCTGTCCACGGGATTTCTCAGGCAAGAATACTGAAGTGGGTTGCCATTTCCTTCTCCAGGGGATCTTCCCAACCCATAGATGGAACCTGCGTCCCTTGCGGCTCCTATATTGGCAGGTGGCTTCTTTACCACTAGTGCCTCCCAGGAAGCCCTTTAGGAAGGGGAGATCCTTACAACCAAGGTGAAGTTCAGGGCAAGCAGACCAGTGATTTTCAATATCAATAGTGGCATTCATTAGAAAAAGAAGAGAAGGGGGAAGGGACTGACCCTTTTGCACTTCATATCATAAGAGGAAATTGAGGATTTGGAAAAGGAAACATTGTTGAAGGAAAAAAGGGCTTAAAATTCTAGACAGTCTTGAAAAACCTTTGTGAACAATGCCTGCACCTTCTAAATGTTGGGAGTTGGAAGTAAAAGCCAGGACCATCCCAGCTCAACTTTGGCTGGACTCTGACACCCTCAGTCCCTCTCAGGGTGGTGGGTGATGGATAGCACTTGGATTAATTTATTTATTCTGAAAAAATACAGTCAGCACTTCATCGGCCGAGCTCCGTGCTATAGATACAAAGTGGACTAAAAGAACTTCGGAGTACTGGGATTGCTTAAACAGACATGATTAATAAAATGCCACGTGAGACATGATACAGAAGATGATGCAGAGTATAAACTCAGACAGCCCAAAGACATGAACTTCTGGAACATCGGGGAGAAGATGGCTGGGTAAGATGCCATTAGGAGATGGCATCTGAGCTCAGCGCTGACCGAGGGTTGGGAACCCTCTCAGGGTGATGGATGGGCAATGCCCTCATCTGTCTTTTCAGAATAGGTCCCTCGGCTTCTCTGAGACTCTATTCAAGGAATTCTGTGCACAGAATGGGGACTGGAAATAAGACTGGAGCACAGAAGACCCACTCTTTGAATCGAGGCTGTGTATATGGCTGAAGTCCTGCCCTGCAAAACAAACAGTTGGTTTCCTTCCACAGGGGTGACTTTGCGTGTACCTTTCATCTCCAAATACATACAGACATTATTTTAGTAAAACCACCCTCCACCTCCTCCAAGTAAACACACACAAATTATACCTGGGCTTCAACATGCACATTTTAATAGCTTCATGACACATGGACTATCTCAATAATATGGCAGTTATCTTGATGAAAAAAATTAAATAAATCAGGTTAACATCAAAATAGGCCCTCATCTAAAAAAAACATGAATCAGTCAACTATAAAATCCAGCCCTCATTTCTTTATTCAAGTATTAATATTTAAAATATTTGTCTTACTTTTTAAAATCTCTTAGAAATTGATCTTTTTACTAATGCTTTTTGTTATGTATTAGAAATTTTTCCTAATATTTCCTTATGAGAAAGAGGGAATTTAAACAACCTAATTTGAAGCAGGTTTTAACTGTTTTCTTTCATCTATCCAAAAGGACTCACAATGATTATACCTAAGAGATGGTTGGGAATATTATGAAATTAAAATTTGCAACTTGCTGAGACTAGCATATCTACTTACTCCTGAGAGGAAGAACCAGTGTGAAAATCCTAGCTAATTTTTTAAAGACAAATTTAGGAGGCAAGAAAACAATGCTTATAACTTGCATTTTCATGAGTGCATATGGAAATATTATATTTTGTTGTTTTATAACAGCCTTTCAACTCATTTTTAAATTGCAAGTAAGTTTTCCTTTTAATGATGACTGAAAGTTCATTAGATACTGAAGATACATTTTTAAAAGTGATACATTTTAATTTGAGTATCTGGTTTTGCTTTTGTACTTACATACTGACTGAAAGAGATGGCAGTAATTACATTAAAATTTAAGATTTATGAAAATTTCCCACTTTCTCTATCTCCTTTGATCTTATCAGCTTTAGTCTAAACCATCTGGTTGGAAAAAATCGACACTCAGACCTTTCTGAAGCGAGGTGCCAAACAGAAGTTCCCAGATCTTCTGATATGAAGCTCTGTGTATTTTCTATAAAAATCCACACTACCTCTGTCTTGAACCAGCATGGATACCATCACAAAGCCTCAAACTTTCCTTTAACCCTTTCTATTCTAGGCAACAGAAATGTAAGTTCTTTCCTTTATTCAAGGAATATTTATTGAAAACCACTATGTACCAAACACTAGGGTACAGACAAAGTCCCCAATCTTCCTAGAGTTTACATTTAAGAGAAAGGAAGAAAACATAATGAAAATATATTATCATATAACCAATAAGGACCTACTTATTGTTCCCTACAAGTTCCCTGTAAGTTCCCTGCTGTGTGGCACAGCGGACTCCACTGAACATTTTTTAATAACCTACAAGGGAAAAGAATCTGAAAAAACCAAAATGACCCTGCTGTACACCTAAAATTAACACAGCATTGTAAATCAACTATACTTCAATTAAAATTTTGACAATATATAATAGCATACATAATATTACCAGATAGTGACATATGCCATGGAGAAACATATAAACAGGTACTGAGATCAATATGAATTACACTCTAAATAGGGTGATCGGAAAAGCCTCTCTGGGCAGGAAGCATTTATGCAGATGTGAGCAGAAATCTGCATGAAATAAAAATGAGAGCTCTGTAAAAAATCTGAGCAAGAGTGATCCTAACAGATAAAGAGCTAGCACCAAGGCCCTAGCCTTCGGGAACATGCGTGGTGAAGATCAAGGATTGGCAAGAAGGCCACTGTGGCTGGGCCATAGTATGTGAGGAAAAGAGGCAGGAAGTGAGGGCAAAATTGTGGAGTGGCCCAGTAAACCACAGAAAGAATTTCAGACTTTTTTTCTAGGAGGCCATTGGAGGATTAAGAGAAGAGGTGTGCATGACATGACTAATGTTTCAAAAGGATTATTCTAGAAGAAAAGAAAATAGAGACCGCCTCTTTTTAAAAAATCTTTTTTTTCCTACCAGAACTGAGCTTTTAAGAAGAATCTCTGGAGAAGCTACAATCAGGTTTTCCCTTGTCACTATTAAATTCTCATTATGAAAGGCAACTTAACATTACAATGAAAGCTTAAAAACACTGCCTCTGAAGATTTTAACAAACCAGAAGTTTCTAGGATGTTTCTATACTCACAGCAATGATTGATTCATTCAGAAAGAAAAAAATTAGCACTGTGGCATGTTGGAGCTGGTATCCAGTAAGTGCTAGCTTTTTCCCAGAAGTTTCTCTCCGGGACAGAAAATTTGTCAGATATTGGTTCTCTTGGTCACATAAAAAAAAGGATACAAAATGACCAGTCTAATTAAGCCAGATGATTCATGGGACACAACATTCCAAAAAAAATATTTATGTGGCATTTTCAGGGCACTTTTTTTGCCCAAGTCTAGACAAGGGTAAAATGGAATCTGTTTATTCTGTCCACCAATAACCAAAGAGGATTTCATGTTCTTGTGATACTAAGGTCCATCCACTGAAATGGACAAGAGTGGACAGCTTCCACTGAGGCAACAGTGGGTTAGAGAGGCAAAAGTATGGGATGCAGGAGTCTTTCACAGCAACATCCCATTCTTTCTGGAGCTCTGATGACTCCCCTGAAAGACTTAAGAGTGCTTAGTCAAAAGTAGAAAGGATAATGGGGTGCTTTGCATACATGCGAGCAAACAAAAAAATCAAACTGCAGACTTCCTTGGTGGTCCAGTGATTAAGAATCTACCTTGCAATGCAGGGGACGCAGGTTCAATCCCTAGTCAAGGAACTAAGAGCCCCCATGCCTCAAAGTAACTGAGCCCCAGTGCTCTGGAGCCTGCATGCCACAACTAGAGGGTCCGTGGGCCGCAATGAATGATCCTACATGATGCAACTAAGATCCCCTGTGTCACAACTAAGACCTGACTCAGCCAAATAAAAATAAAATCACTAGAGGTTCATCTCACATGATGCTGCCTCTTTGAAACCTTCCTTGAATTTACAAAACCAATTCCTTTCTGTTATGCAGGTCTTTAACAGATTCTGTTCCACAATGACCTCCCCTTCAGCACCATCTTCTAGTTGCCTGGGAATAAATCTAGCTCCTTGGGGAGAGTCATCGCATCCTAATAATTGTTTTACCCCTTACGGCATTTGTAGCACAACAGATGTTCAACATGTATTTGGTGAAAGAAGCTGAATGGAGCAATAACCCTTAACATGTTTCAATATGATGTATTTGCATAACCTTCACCAAAAATGAATTAGTGACTATATGCTGATGTTAAAGATGACAAAATGAAAGACTAGGGAGGTTATGGAAACTTGAGACTGTAATCAGGGTCCAAAGTAACCTTTCCATTATATGTAAATTTATGAGTAAGTAGATTTTTAAGGGAAAAGGAATAACCTATGTTAAGCACATTGGTGGGATAAGCTTCACTGTCACTTATTAGTACAGCTAATAACAGTCTGGCAAAAAGTACACAGTGAGAGTCAATGATTACTTTTAGTTTTCAAGTTAGGAAA